CCAAAATAGCTTTCTCAACCCCATACAGCGTGTGCTAACTTCCTGTAGGTCATCATAATCACAATAAATGGAAACTGCCAGCATCAAACAATAGAAAATCAGGATACGTTATACACTCATCCTTATAAAATGAAAATATCAAAACTCTATGGCTGTATCATTTTCCAATTGTAATTTTTCAACTAATGAAATACTAAAGACAAAACACGATGCAGTCCAGAGTGTAAAGAAATAAGAAATAAGTAAAAAGCAGAACAAAATTAAAAACAAATAGTTCATAAAAGAGCTTACCAACTTCCCAAATGCACTTTTAAAATGTTACGGGCTTTTTGTGCTCTCTTTCTTTCTGTGGACTTGCCTTGTCATATGTACTTGCTATATGCGCCTCTCTAAGTTTTTTGCATTGTATCTGAACCCCTGGATGAGACTTTTTCACACTATGTATCGTATCCAACACAAATCTTCTTGAAACTGGACACCCATTCAATTCAAAAAGTAGAAACAGGATTTGACATTAGAGATTGTCTGTTTACAGAAAACACCATAAACGAAAGAGCTTGTCACATTTTGCTGCGAATGAAGTTCATAAATTGGTAATAAATAATAAATTGGTCATTTTCAATCCACGACTGTTTGTGGGACACTGCTGTGCACAATTGGCTGCCTCGATTCGCCCACAAATATACAGTTAATTCACTTTACAGCATATTCTGTGAAGCGCTTTGAGACGTCTAGAAAACGTGAAAAGCACTATATCAAATGCAAGGATTATTATTATTATTATATTGAAAGCAACCATAAAAAAGCATTACAGATAATTTTATAACGTAAGATCTTCAGAGTTGGAATAGTTTAAACATTTGTTTTGAGGGATTATTATCCCCAGAAAGCGATCCTCCAATCAGAGGAACAGTCAGGTTCCAACTTACTGCTGGGTAAACAGAGGCGTGTGGAGTAAATTATGGTGCTGTTATGTCTGCACTGTCAATGCTACTTCTTATTTCCCTGTATCTTGCTGTTTTACGCAAGAAAAAAATTCCACTTATAAAGTGCCTTTTATATAAGAAAAATGCATCAAAGGGTTTTGCACAGATTGAGTGGAGCCTGAGCTGGGGGAGGGTACTGGGGGTGGGTAGAGGCAGTTGAAGGTACAATTGAATGGATAGGTTTTTAGACAAGTTTTGAAAGCAGAGAGGGAGAGAGCGAGGCAGAAGGATTTCAGAAAAGTGTTCCAGAGAGCAAAGGCAAAGTGGCTGAAAGCCAAAGTGGGTTGTCTGCTGATAGTGGGGAGGAGTGGGAATGAACACAAAGCCGCCCAGAGTTGGCAGAGCCGCAGGGTCATAGGGGTTGGAGGCGCAAGCTGGTAGAGACGTTTGAAGGTGAGCAAAACATACAAGGTTTCCCTCACCTGGTCTCTATCAACTGTTCCTGCTCACCATCCACTAATCTCTAGGTGATGAGTGAGTGAGTGTGTGTGTGAAACGCAAGACAAGATTTTTACATATGAAAATCAGGTTTAGTAGCAATCAGATGACATCTATTCAACTATACTACTGCATGAATGAGCACCTTATTTTATAGATAGGCTAATAAATATTTTTTTGTGTCTTTCTTTGAGGCAAAATATTTAAGTGGAAAGATTAAATCATCTTATCTTTTCCCCAAATTCAGCTTTTTTCCCCAAGAGTAGTAGCTGATCTCTGGTACCTTGACCAAGTGGCAATTTTTTATGTGTAAGACCAGAAACTGAACTGTGGGGATGTCATAGCTGGGATTAATCTTGACCTGACCTGATGTCCACAAACACATGCATTTTTCAGTATTATGAGATAGTAATCAGGATTAAGAAACCTGGCTGATTTTTCTGCTACCTACACCAGGCCGTTGAGGCCAGTTCCACCGTCCTTTACGTCAAAATAAACTTATCTTCCATGAAATCTTTCAGAAATCCATCTACAGAACAAAATGATGAATTTTACTTCACTTACAGCATGTTGTCTGGATGTTTGAATTCATCTTCAACCATACCATTTTGAAATTGTTTTTCAAAATTATCTGTTGTTTTGAAACTGCATTCTGCAGTTCGAATTGGAAATCTTGAAAAATAATCACTCATCCTGAAAAAATGTTTTGTGGTGGATAGATGATGTGGTAAAGGAGATTCAGTTTTATATTCTTCATATTGTATATCACCTGAAACAACCTGGTACAAATATTGAGGGCAAAAATTCCAAAGAACTTTCTAATACTGATGAGCACAAATAAACTTTGCCAAGTCTGAGTACATCTGCTAAATCTTTCAAGATCATTGAATCATTTTATCTATTTGGCATTATACAAAATGTCTTTGAAGGTCCTGGGCTCTGAAACAACACATCCAGTGTCAACCTGGCTCACTCTTGCCTCTGAGTCAGAATACTGGGATTCAAGCCCCATGTCAAGATGTTGAACTTGTCATCTAGACTGGCACTAAAGTGTAGTCCTCAGCTAAGTCCTTTGAATGAAACATTAAATTGAGGCATCGACTGCCTGTTCAGGGGGATTTTAAAATTATAACGGCATTATTCAAAAAGAGAAGAGAGTTTCTTTTGGTTTCCTAGTCAACAACCCCACAGTCTGTCCATCAATTCCCAACAATCCTGCCTGCCAGGATTTTGTTTAAACTGGAATTCGATGCTTTACCCTCTCATTTTCGTATTCCAAAGTCAAAAAAAGCTAAATACCATCCACTCATTCAAGAAACATCTATACAGATTTCAAATGAAAGATATGATCACTAGCTACAGATTGGGAGGCCAATGTTCCATGTCAGGATCACAATTTAAAATAACAATGTACATTTATATGCTACTTGTTACAAGGCGGAGTAGAGGGACATGAACGTATCTTGAATTTGATTCACTGCGAGATGGTGAGCCAATGAATGAGGATAGGGATGATAGAGAGGGTAGGGATGATAGCTTAGAGCCTAGCTGCAAGGGAAGACCTGGGCCTCAGAATTGCTGGATTTCTGGATGGCCTGCAGTTATATAGGCAGGAGTTGGGGAATCAGACGTGCAGGGTGTTGGAACAATTGAGCCAAGATGTACTGAAGACATGGACGAGGGTTTTGGCAGCACAAAGGGGAGGTAATGGTGGATGTGCCGGTGAGGGAAAGCTGAACGAGTGAGAGTTCAGATGTAGAGCTCGTGAAGTTTTTCACCCGCTCCGTGAGGTGGAGTGAGTTTCTGTTCAAGTTGATGCGGTCAGCACCAGAAATGAGAAAATGCTGATGGGACCCAAGCAGGTGAGCCTTGTTGACATTCAAATGAAGAACGTTAAAGCTCATCTGGGATTTGATTCCTGATAGGCAATTGGTCCGAACAGCTTAGGACCTGGAATCAAGGGAATAATGTTTGGGAATCTGGACTCAACTCATTTAGCAATTTAGTCCGGCAAACTGTTTGCCTAATTTATTTTTGCCTCACACTGTTTTGATATATTGAACGATAAGTCAACTAACACACCTAGATTTCTTTCAACTTCTCCCTTGGAGACGTTTATCTTATCTGTGGTATTTCCTAACATTAACGCATATTTTGGTGCTTTGCATTTTCTGGATTAAACTTAATTTGCCAATTATCAGCCTATTTGTATCCATGAAGAAGCCCACCATGACATCATTGACATCAGAAGCTTGCTCATGGAGATTTACGGGTGCCATTACCCAGTTGTGCAGCATTTTGCATCTATTACAGTCTATGCTGACACTCTATGCTCCACTTATTGTCGGAGGTGCCGTCCTTTGGGACGTTAAACCAAGGTTCTGTCTAGGTGGACGTTAAAGATCCCATGGTGCTATTTGAAAAGAGAAGGAAGTTTCTCCCAGTGTCCTGGCCAACAATCTTTCAAATAAAATTGGTTACTCAAGATGTACTGAAGGCATGGACGAGGGTTTCGGCAGCCCACAGGGGAGGTAGTGGTGTAAGTGCCGGTGAGGAATAGCTGAACGAGTGAGAGTTCTGTTTGTGGGACATTGGTGTGCAAAGATTGGCTGCCGTGTTTGCCCACACAATAAGAGCAGTAACACCAATTTACACTATATCCTGCAAAGCTCTTTGAAACATCTCAACAATGTGATAAGGAGCTATATCAAATGCAAGAATAAATATTATCATTAAGAATTCTTATGAACAGGCCTTGTGTTTTATTGCAAAAAATTGTAGCAACGCAATCTTTCTCAGTTGTGCGTGGGTGATGAAGTCTACACTTTGAAACCTCATGAGGAAATGGCTTGAAGTATTATATTCCCAGCTGTTGCTAGGTGAAGTCCTTGGCAGTAAAAATTTATTCAAAAGTCTAACAACAGAGGTCAAAGGGTTAGGCTTTTTCACACTTCTGTTAAAAGCTCTATTTTAAATATATTATGTTTTTCATTTGCTCCTTTTGTAGTTAATATGTAACTATGGAATTCAAATATGTTCCACAAACAGGGATGTTTTGCTCAGACAATACACAGACAGTCAATCCACTTTACACTATATCCTGTGAAGCTCTTTGAGACATCTCGGCGACGTGATAAGACATTGTATCAAATGAAGGATTATTATTGTTATAACAATTAATTTATCAGGTAGAGTACTTGTATTTGGAATAATTATTCATGAGGCAAAAAGGATTTGTTGCTGCAATGCCCTGATTCAGGTACACGTGTGCATTCATCCGTGTAACAAGGTCACAGAGTGAAATGTGACAAAACACTTTGCAGCTTGCTGGATTCTGGGCAATGAACACAATAAGACCAGCTTATTCTTTCTAGCCTCGTTTAATTAAGGATCCGAGAACAGAGGAACCATAGACACTCAGCAACTCATGCTTGTAATTTTTTTTACTTAATAAGAAATGTTTGCTAGTTCAATTATCGCAAATACAACAGACAGGTCAATAGCATAGACAAATGTCCGTATCAAAGTAACAGAACCAGTAGTTAGTCAGTACATAAATCATTCCAATCTTTGCTTCTTTGGTAGAGTCAGTTGGTAAATTCACAAACAGTAGGCAAAAGTCTTGCTCAGACTCTTGCTTCAGACCAGAAATTTCTTGCTTGGGTTCGTTGAGTACGAAATCAAATTTGAATTCTTGATGGACAGCTGAGCTATATACTTTACTTTGCAGTTGTTATACTTCGTTATTCTTCTCCTGTTGCTTTCCAAATGCTTTGAACCGTAATGTTAGTTATTTTAACTTTCCTTCTTCCTGAAATTGCTGAAATCAAAAAAAGTTGATGAAACGATGGAACAGTCTAAGTCTGACATATTTTAACCCGGAAGACAACGCATTTGCTTCATCACTTTATATCGTCACATAAAATATGGCTCATGACAGCACCTGATATGCTATGTCTGAGGTTGAACGAATTATAGTTCAATCATACATCTTTTACAATCGTTTTCTCCACAGTCAGGATGGAAATGTAAAATCTTTCCATTCTCATGTCCATGAAACAATTATCTCACATAAAAATAATAATAAATTATAATCTGGAGAATTGTTACTATACCTGTAGAAATGTTATTGTTATAGAAGAACATGAATTATTATAAAACTTGAATTGTTATAGAAAACATCTTTAACACAAACATGAATTTGTTATGGAAAACATCTTCAACAACCTTCAGCTACAATAAACAAGTCATCTTGGCATTTTTCTAGCCAACATAAGCTTTTTTAACCATTAATTAAAATAATTATTTTGACTACAAGGGTTAACATATATTCACAATTTTAGCTATGAAATGGGATCACAATGGGATCACCACATACCCCCCCTTGAATTTGAGGATATTTAAAAATATTCTCACATTCACTATAATAATATCACTTTATTAATACTGAAATTGTTTTTCGTGGGGTTAAAGCAAATTACTGTCTGAACACGTGATCTGATCCACAATTATGTTATTGTTCATTTTAAACGGCCAGGATCATTCCCTTTAAAAAAATGAAAACATTTCTTCACTCAGAGGGTAGTGAATTTATGGAAACATATTCAAGCCTGACATCGATAGATTTTTAAAAACTAAAGGGATTAAGGGATATGTGGATAGGGCAGGTAAATGCAATTAGGTTAGAAGATCAGCCATGATCTTATTAAATGGCGAGGCAGACTCGAGGGGCTGAATGGCCTACTCCTGCTCTTATTTCTTATGTTTTTATGTTTAAAGGGCTTTATTTGATTCACATGTATCTAACCAGTCCCCCCCTTGAATTCTTTTCGAGCCAAGGAATCAGCTAAATTATTCCAATGGATCACTATCATACTCATCAAATTCTTAGGACCAATGATTATTTTCCCTGTAATCAAAATCTCGAAATTATCCCGTAATTCCCATACAATTGACAAGCATGCATCTCAAGTGTGGGAAAAGTGATTGTTTTTCAGGGTCAAATGTCCCAGCTCTAGACGCTACATATTGTAACCCAGGGACTAGGTTTAAAGGAAACATAAGAGCAGCAGGCATAGGAATAGCAGACGCTGCCCCTGACAAAAGAGTTCAGACCCGATCGGTAAATTCAAACTTAAACGAGGGGAACCCATACCCCTACGCTTCCTACAATTTTTAGTCTAACTCTCTGATCTGAGCCAGCAATAGATCATTCTCTCATTTTAACGTACTCCATTTGTCTTTTACTTTAATATGGGAAGACTCCAATGTAATGTTCGAAAGAGTACTAAGCATTTTTTCTTGCTCTTGACTTACTCCAACTCTCTGTCTTGTTTTACTTTCTTCAAAATCTTCATCAATTAATTCAAAATAAATAAAATATGGGCTATTTGAGAACAATGTATCAAAATATTTTGATTCATAAATGTGTACACTTAAGCAGGTCAGAGAGGTAAGGAGGTGCCATGGCATCGAGTAACTTGTATGTGATTGTGAGGATCTTGAAATCGACCCATTCTGCGCTAGAAAGCCAATGGAGCCTGGCAAGGACTGAGGTGATGGGGTTGCGGAGTTTAGTAAGAGTGAGGACACGGGTGGTGGAGTTTTGAATTAATTGGATTTTATGAATGGTTGAGCTGGGGAGACTTGCAAGGAGAGTATTGGAAAAATCATTACATTACATGTCATTACAAAATTGGCATGGAGAGGCATAAGGAGCTATATATATATATTGCAATAATTGAATATTGTGTCATTCACAATATCTAAAACCCTGACATATCCATTCATATAACAGACATTTCATGTTTCTTTAACTCACAGCGATGTGAAATATCCCATTTTCTAATGTGAACTTTAAATGTTAGTCAAAGACTTGCTGAAGGGCCTCTCTCTGTAGGAGCGGCTAATCAAGTTAATACGGGCAAGTCCATGCCATGCTCATGGATTAGAACTGTTTGTTTTGAGGGATATCATAAATAAAAATGTACATTTAACATTGTTCCTTATCTGGTCAAAACATGTCAAAGCACTTTACTCAATTAATTATTTTGAAGTGGTCATGAATATTATTTTATTGACAAACATAGTAAGTAGTAAAGTATGGTGTTTGCCAGCAACATACCACAAAAAGCAATCTGGCAAATGACCAATTAACATGTACTTTGGTGAATATCTAAAATCCTAGTCCTCACTTTTAAAGCTCTCCACGGCCTTACTCAGTAACTACTGAGACCTATTCACACCGTACAAACCTGTCTGCTCCCTCCACTCGGTGAGCACTGACCTGCTTTATGTTCCCCGCCCTGCCCGTCCCACCATTGGTGGTTGGACCTTCAGCTTTTCTGCCTCCACCCTCTGGAACTTCATCCTTCCTCCACCTCTCCCCCTCCCTTACCTCCTTCAAGGTCCATCTTAAGGCTTTCCTGTTTAGATCATACTTTCGGCCACCCTCCCACCCTTCTTGATTCCACCCCCCAGCTTGGCAGCAAACCCTTAACTGTCCAGTGCCTTGCGACGTCCTTCTGATATAGATTTAATTTTATTGTTCTTGTTATAGATGAAAGCCATCACACCAAGAATTTCCTGAATATTTCTAAACCACTGTGCCTATGCACTATGCCTATGAGAGCAAGAGCGGAAAGAGAAAAACTTTGGCCGCCCACTCCCTCTCTCCCTGGTGAACCATCCTCTCAGGGCAGCAGAAGGCTCCGAGGGTTGGGAGGACCCTCTCTCTCTTTCCCAAGCAATGCCATTCTCTAGCCACTCTCTCGCTTTGGCCTGTCCTCTTCCCCCTCTTCACTAATGAGCCACGCAACTGATTGAGAAGGGAAGAAGAGAGGGTTGAGAGAGAATGATTGCGAGAGAAGGAAGAGTGATTGAGAGAGAGGGAGCAGGAGGGGGAGAGAGAGAAACAGCGATCTGGAGAGAGCACAAAGAGGGAGAGAGAGCGAGAGAGAGAGAGAGCAAGTGAGAGCTAGAGAGAGAGAAGGGAAGTGATGGCAGTGTTTTATGGTTCTCAAACAGGGCATCCGTCCTTCAGCATCCAAAAGGTTGGAGCATCCTGCTCATGTGAAACAATCTTTGTAAGAGTTTATATTGTAACAAAATAGTTCAGTTTTGAAACCTGCTTACGAATACAGAAGTCGCTGGGAACACTCAGCAGATCAAGCAGCTTCTATGGAGAAAGGAAAGTGAGTCAACGTTTCGGGTCCACGACCCTTCGTCAGAACAGCTTAGTTGTGCTATTCATTGCCAGTGTGCCAATACATGTTTTCTGAACATGAGGCACAGTACTGTGCAGTACTGTATATGGAAAGGATGGGGCTACCATAGCTTTAATATGCATGGGTTAAACATGGCACAGAAACTTTGCCTTAATTCACCAGCCTGTACAGTACTTGTGTATTCTAATTGTTATGTGTTAGTCATATAAAATCTGACTTATACATAACTTTACATAAATCATACATTATATGACTTATGCAAGTTTGACATAACTCATACTTTGCATAAGTCATATTAAATGTATGGTCCAACTGATTCAAGTTTACTGAATAACAAATGTGTATATTGTCCTGGCCTGAAATTAAAATAAAGGTCATTCATTTCACAGCTGTTTGTGGGACATTGCTGTGCTCAAAATTGGCTCCAGCATTCGGCCACTAAAAACACACACATACCCTGTGAAATGTTTTGAGATATCCTCCTGACATGAAAGATGCTATACCAAATGAAAGCTTTATCATTATTATATAGAACCTTTCACATTGGAAGGACATGTCAAAGTACATCATACAACTGACTGAGACCCTGAACTGGAGGGAGAGATGAAATGAGAATGGGGGTAGAATGGTTGAAGGCTCACTCAATGGTGGAGTGGAAGGTACGAACTAGGCAAGTGTCTGGAGGGAGTGGCTGGACAGCTAGGTCAAAGAAGGTTGCAGAGATAGGCTGAGGCAAGGCCATGGAAGTATTTGAATGTGAAGACAGGAATCGTGAATTTGATTTGGTAGGGGATGCAGAGCTAGTGAAACTAAAAGAGAAACAAGTATTGGGCTTGTGGAGTCTGGTGCGGGAGATAGCATGGAATACAGAATTCTGGATGGTCTGCCACTTGTGTAGGGGTGAGTTGGGGAGTCTGGAGGTGAAGAAGGCATGGACTGTGTAATGATAAATTGCGCTGAGCTCAAACCTGGCTCAAATCAGTTTCTTCTAGTTTCTAGTTTCTTCTAAAACTCAACATGAAATTTGGCTCAGGGCTACATTTCAGTTTATTCCAAAGCATGACCTGTAAAATATCTAAACTCCTTCATGCCTGAATGCCATCAAGATGAGATTATTAAATTTGAGTCCATGAAGACTGCTGCTACCCTGGTGCAAGAAATACATAGATTCTGTGTTTGGTTTGTGTGTGTGTTATTAGTGCTATCTATCTGTTCACACTGTGAATTGGGCCAGAAAATAACAATGATTAATGGAGCTGCAGGTTGGGAATTCATGCAATGAAGAACTAGAGGTGGACAGCTTGTGTTTACCAAACAAGTGAAACTGCACTTTGTTTAAAAGACAGCATGGGGTCATGTGGATCAACTACTAGAAAAATATGTTTGCATGTTTCTCGAAGGCTCACCAGTGGTCTAGGCAGCCATCTGTGCAGAATGTAATGAAGAATCCAGTTAAAACATGGCAAACGGAGAGGGGCAGGAAGTATTGGTTGAGATGACAAATATAACTATGTACTTGAAACAGAAGTCTCAACATTGGAAGTGAGGCTGGAATGCTAATTAATACAGTGTGTCCATTAATTAGTTTGAGGCA